CAGAGCAGAAGGACTAGAATGCCTGTGTTTGGGGCATATGTCCATACGGGTGTGCATAGAAAGATGTGAGTAGGGCACACGTGTGCAGGCACACGTGGAGGGCCACTTCAGAGGTTAAGATTCCCCAGACATAGACCCAAAACAAGAATTTTAGAACAAGTGTCTTACCTGGGAGTTGGTCCCAGGAAGCACAGTGGAGAAGGAAGTGAGACAGGAAAGGGAAGACCTCCAGAGCCCTGCAGCTGCAGAGGTGACCATGTGACTGCTGTGGGCAATTGGGGCTCAACCCTGCTAGATGGAATATTGTCCCACCTGAGAGTGGAGAGAAGGGAGGTGTTTACCCCCAGCACCTGTTGTCATCATTGGGGGGTTTTGAGGGGGTCTCTCTCAATGCTGCCAGCTTGTCCTCTGCCCAGATGGCAGGCATTCCTTAAGCAGAGTCAGTTGTGCTTGCTGGGCAGCCTTGGGCACATATGGAGAAGGTGAGTATCCAGGGGATATGGGTGGAGCCCTGACAGCACTTGCTTAGGGTCTCAGGGCTGCAGGGCACGTGTTCAGGACCCATGAGTGCACACAGCCAGGGCACCAGCAGAAAACAAATGATTGTAGGGAGGGCTTTCAGGAAGGGAATCAGCAGCCACAACAGTTGTGGTGTTGGGACTCCCCCAGCCGACTTGGCTCCATCCCCACGTTCTCTGGTTCCTGGGCTGGCATGTACTCATGTGGCTGGGAGCACTTGAGGGCTCACGTGATGCAAAAGTTTCTCTTGGCTAAACATTCACTCATTTGTATTTTATGAAGTGGGGATGAAGCCTCAAGTGCCCACAATTGGGAAGGAGACAGCCTCCAAGGGTGGGTAGGGCCCTAGACAAGGAGGAGGAGCCAAATGACATCTCAGAGCCCACTTGTGCCATCCAGGAAATGGTGATGACTCTGCCCCTGCGCAGGGCAGGTCACCTTGCTGTTCTGGCATCTCAAGTTCCCTGTTTGCCCAGCAAGCACCACCGAAGTCCTCTCTCTGTTATGAACTTCACAGAGCTGCTGTGAGAAGCAGGTCAGGTCATGAACAAGGAAACCCTTATAAGAGCATAAAACACTTAAATCACTTAATACCAAGGGGAGGGAGAGTGATGATTATGGAAAGGGCCTGAGTGGGGAAGTGCAGGGAGCTGGCTCCTGCTGATAGCACTGTGGCTATATTTTTAGGACACTGGCTTGACTCTTATTACAGAGACACAAAATAATAGTGTCTTCAATCAAATAACTTAATTCTCTCTTAACCTTAAACTTAACCTCTGTCACAGTATACGTGACAGTTGAGGCTGACATGATAGACTTACCCATTGCAAAAGACCCGGGTCCTTCTATCTGCCATCCTCCACCTTGTGGTCCAAGGTGGATGCTGGTCTCTAGCCCTTAGGACCACATTCCAGGCAGCAGAGGGAAGACAAAGAAAAGCAGCAGGAACCTTCCTCCGTCCTTGTAAGGGCAGGAGCCACATATTACCTCCATTCCTCTCCCATTGACCAGGATTTAATCATGTGACTGTACTTATCTGCAAAGGCATTTGGAATGTCATCTTTCACCATGTGTGACTGGGAGGAGGGACAACCTGCAATTTTTCCACTAGCTGCTGACTTGCTTGAGTCACCTACGTCTCTGTCTGAGCCATAGTTTCTTCATCTGCAAGTCCTCTCACTCATCTAACCATTCACGACTCATTCTACATATATATGTGCCAGGAATAAAGTACAATTTTTGAGCCACTTGCTTGCTAATGGTCCCTCTCACTAGCTACCCCCTAGGCCCCGTGAGGTCAGGAGTGAGTTCTTTCTTGCTCAATGCTATGCTGCCGGCATCTAGTGCAGGGGCTGGCACAGGAAGGCCTATTATTCGCTGTCCATGGATGATGAATGGGTGTTCATTCTGGCTTTTCTGATTGGGGAGGATATTTTTCCTCACTCAGGGGTTTAAGATCTTCCCTGTTCCAAGTCCCCTGGCTCCACCTTCCCTGATCCCCATGTGCCAAGCCTTTCTCAGCTTGTAAAGTAAAATGTGCTCTGAGCCAGAATCCTAAGAGCGGGATTAAAAATAAATGAAAGTGCATCAAAACAAGTTAACCACAAGAAATGGCTTTCAGGGTAATTAGACATCAGCACTAGAGAGCAGGACAGCGCTCTAGACGCCAGCCGCCAGGTGCTTTGACCAACACCTCTGCGGGGGTCAGTCTGAGCCCATGCTTGGCCACCCTCTTCTATAAGACAACCGACAAGACTGCCCACACCCCCCCACATACACACACAGGTCTGGGGAGGTGCCCCAAGGTACCAGGTGAGTCCAGGAGGACAAGAGACCAGAGGCAGGAGCAGGCTCAGATCTGCAGATCCACCCCCTGATGCTGACCTCCCTGCCACCCTCAAGCTCAAGAGTAACAATAAATGATCATCTGTTGCCACTATCAGGAGTTTCAGAGAGGGTCGTTACATAGTATCCTTGTGAAAACCCGGTGTGTCTCTGTTTCTTTCTCTTTGAATTTGATCATTTAAGTTGTCCTGAAGGTTTGACTTCACCTTCAGCCACCATCCAGAGCATGCCTCCTTTCACCCCAATTCCCCCCCTCTCAGGACCCCCCTCCTGTTCTTTCTGCAAATGGCTGCCTCAGGTGTTGATACCTGCCTCTGATCCACAATGACCCATGACAGGATCATTGGGACATAAAGCCTGATGACCTGCCTGGAAGAAGTCACTTCTGGCCCCTGTGTTCAGAAGGGTGTGAGGTTGCAGGTGAGTTTCTCGGATCCTCTCTGGTTCTAAAGAGAGACAGCTGGACTGGGAGAAGTTGCACATAAAATGCTATCTGCATGCAGCAGTCAGAATGCACCTTCGGCTGTAAACCCCGGGCTACAAGAAATGTGATGTTTCTTACAACTCATTTTCATAATTATTTTAAGCCTCATCATGTGTATCGCTGAAAGGATAAGAAAAGTTTGGTAGAGCAGAGGTCAGAACCCAGGAACCTGCCCTGTCCCTGTCATTCTTGGAAGGAGTCCCAGGCCCTGCCCCAGCACTGGATCCCTGAGTCCAGCCTCCAGGATCACCTGGGCCGTGATGCCAGACTCCAGAGTGCCCTCTGCCGGGAGACTCCTAGGCCACACTTTCCTCCCGAGTCCAAACCTGCCTCCCTGGGTCCTGTGCCCTGGGTCCTCATTCGCTGTTCTAGTGCTACCTTAACTACACATTCTCTTTTCTTTAAATTAATTCCTTGATATAAATTAAACATTTACTATCATTTTTACTTCTATAAATTCCAGTTCTTTTTCAAATCTGCTTTTTTAAATAGTAGCTACACCCCCCTCCCACCCTTGCTTTTCATTCCTTCTTAAATGACTTTAATTCTTTTCAAAATATTTTTTTTGCTATCTGCCTCTGAAGTTCTTGGGGAGGGAGAGTTGGTCCTGCTGTTGCTGGTGTCTGCCAGCTCTCCCTTCTGGTGGGTGGTTTCCTTGTGTTTTGTCATTGTGCATGATGCGTCCCCCCTCAGGGAGCTTTATCTGCCACAGCTTTTGTAGCCTGGTTAAGGGCAAGTCCATCCAAAATGGGCTGAGTTTGTTTCAGCCCTTTATGTGGCATCACTACATTAATTCTTAGTGTGGGGTTCCTAGTTCATGTGGCTAGAATACATTTTAAAAAAAAACACTAAAAAGGGCCTCCCCGGTGGCGCAGCGGTTGAGCGCTGGGTTGCGAAGCTGCCCGCAGCCTCTGCGGCGCCGGTTCGATACCCGGCTGCTCCCCGGTCACCGGAGGAGGGTCCCACATGGCGCGCAGACCTCTCCTGCCGCCCGCTGCTCCCCTCAGCAGTGTACTTCGGTCCTTCTGCCTGCTCTGCTCCCCGCTCTGGCTCTGGTGAATTCTCTCACCCTCCCGCGCTTCTGACTGTGCCCAGTGCTTGTATAAACAAAAACAAACAAACAAATAAAAAAAAAAACAAAACATGCCTCTATAAAAAAAAAAAAAACACTAAAAACACCTACATGAGAATAAAGTCTACTTATTAATCATGGCACTACTTTGATTATTTTTATTTCCATCCACTAGGGTATAGATTCCAGGAAAGCAGGACTTGTGTCTCTCTGATTTGGGGCTCCCTCCCCAGAGCACAGAGCGGAACGTGGAGGGCACAGTAGGCACTACATACATATTTGCTGAAAGAACTAAGGAACACCCACCTCAAATGTGTAATGAAGAGCAAACTGTGTGTCGGTGGGGACTGTGTTGACCCAATTAAAAATGGCATTAATCAGGTCACGTGACTTGCAGATGCCGTGGTGATTGCACTAACCATTTTCTTGGGGCTGCTAGGTGGTAGCTCCAGGTGCTGCATTTACATTCAAGGGGAAGAAAGTGGGAGTGAAGAGGGAGCATCATTCACGTTTTCTTTTATCAGGTGGGTAAAAGTTTTCCTGGAAGTCTAATAGCAAATTTCTGCTTCGATCTCACTTTCTAGAAAAGGGCTGTTCGGGTAGCCCAGAAGCAGGGGACAAGGAAAGGGAACATTTCCCTTTATCCAGACTATAAATAGGTGAGGAAGGGAGAAGGGGATTGGGGGACTCAGACACAGCCACTTTTTTCCAACTCCAAAAATAGAAGGGTGTCCCACAAGAGATCGCAGACATATGCAAAGCTCTTGGAGTAAAGCAAGCCCGCAGAAAGGGGGGCACCTGTTCTCACAACAATTATTGCTGGTACCATTGGGAGCTTTACAGCCATGATCCTGTTGGCATCCAATTTGAATTCTGGGATTTACAGGCACTGAGGTACCCACACCCCAAGGGTCTCCCTTCCTCCTTATTCTGTTCAGAGCACTGAAACATTTAAAGAAAACAAAACCTACGATTTCCAGTGTGAGCCACTTTCTGCTCTCATTAACTCCATCCGCCGTGACTCGGCGAGACCCTGTGCTCAGCCTGAAGCAAGGGGGATACTGTGCAAGCCAAAGGTCCCATCACCAGCTGGGAGTCAAGGTCTCCCCCAAGGACATTGAGATGAAGACAGCAGAAGCCCCAACCCCGGATCTTGGGCAGACCCTGGAGTGGCTGAGAAGAGAGCTGGTAAGGCTTTGCGTTTCTTTTGATGTGACACCTCCACCCCATATCTTCCAAGGTTTCCTGGTCCCCCTTCCCTTGCCCCTTGGCTGGGGGGCGGCACTACAGGCACCCCTCTGGGGCCAGGGACATAGCATGTGTCGCCATATCTGTGCTGGAAGAAGTAGGTCGTGGCCTATATAGCGTCCTCGCTGTGGTGCTTGCCAGACTGTGTTAGCATTATGCTGAGTCCTGGGCGTGCGCCCAGCGTGGCTGCTGTGTGACTGCTAGCTAGCTGCCACCTCTTTGAGCCTCAGTTTTCTTGTCATCAAATAGGGATGACAATAGTACTGGCATGACAGGCATTATTATAAGAATTCAGAGAGATGGTAATACTCACAAAGACCTGTTCGGCTTATCTAAGGCTATTACAATCCTGACCAGGCACATAGGGAGAGCATCCTCTGTCTCAGCCTGAGCCCTCTGCAAAGCCCAGGATGGCACAAGACTGGGGTGCTAACATTTTACTTGGACATGCAAGTCCACAGTGGTAAGAGCGGGTCCTGCCTGACTCCACTTGGCTGTTATATGAACCCACTATCACCTTACTCCCTACAAAATGATTTGTTTGTTAGAGTGAGGACTAAAGGAGTAGTGGGGCTCTAAGAATAATATTTAATATTGATGATGATGATGATGATGATGATGATGACGATGATGGAGATAATTACACGGCTTGGTGGTTCAGCCTGTCATGTTCTAGAGTGTGGGTTGACTTATTCTTTCAGTCTTAAGCGTCTCAAAAGGTAGTCACTTGCTTTCCATTTTGTAGACAAAGAAGCAAAAGGACACAGCTTCTGCGAATATGGGCTCGCCCTGATGAGAAGTGATGGGCACAAGCTTTCTGGGGCACATCCAGTGCCCTGCAGGGCCCCCTCACATGCTCTTTCTCTCCCCCAGGCTGAGATGCAGATCCAAGACCAGAGACTCCTGCTCACGCTGAGGCATCTTCACAGCATCCTGGAGGAGCTGCGTGCTGACAGTACCCGCTGGGAGGACGCCAGGTCCAGCGGAGGGACGTCCCCCGTCAGAGCTCGGGCAGGCTCTGAAGGCAGGGGCCGCCAGCCCGTGTCCTCCAGGTGGCTGACCCAGCTCCTGCTGGGGGTAGACAGCAGACGAAGCTCCCTCCCTTAACCAGCCAGGGATGCCCCTTCCACATAGAGCCTCAATTCTGATTGTGATGTTGTAGAGGAGAATGGTAGAATGCGAGCCGGGAAGCCAGGGCTCTGCTTCTCCTCTGTCCTCAAACACTGTGTGTCTCTGAACCCGTCAATCAACTCGGTGTCACTAGTTCCTTTTCTGTCACCTATCAGGGATTTTGGTGAAGTGCAAATAAGCTATTAGGTGCAAACTGGCTTTGAAAATACAAATATGTTATATGGCTTCTGGCAAGACGTTGGTGGTATTACTCTTGGGGGTTTTGCATATGGTGATTGTTAAAACAAAGAAAGAGCTCCATGTGTGAGGGTGTTTAGCTAGTACTGCCATGTTGCCATGGTAAAGGACAGGACTACCCCAGTTCTCAAGTGCAGTGACTTGTGGGTTGTTGTCTTCCCAGCAGGCCTTCTTTTTTTTTTTATTAAATTTTTAAAAGATTTATTTATTTATACAAGCACTGGGTACAGTCAGAAGCATGGGAGGGTGAGAGAATTCACCAGAGCGGGGAACAGAACAGGCAGACTGACGAAGCACAGTGTTGAGGGGAGCAGCAGGCGGCAGGAGAGGTCTGCGCACCATGTGGGACCGTCGCCCAGCTCGCCGGGCATTGAACCAGCGCTGCAGAGGCTGCAGACAGCTTCACAACCCAGTGCTCAACTGCTGCGCCACCGAGGAGACCCAGCATGCCCGCTTATTCCCCTTTATCTGGAAGCAACAGGTGCTTGCCATTGGGATGGGCATGTGACCAGGACTGGCCAATCATAATTCACAGTCACTCTAACAACATGATTGGCCCGGTGGTTGGACATGTGACCTAGCAAAGCCAATCACAACCTTTCTGTGGAATTGCACTCTAGATGCTCATTCTAGGGCACTACACATTAGCTCTTCTACCTTGAGCCGGGAAGTGTTATCTGCCCCTTCTGCCCAGAGCCTTTGGCGGGAATTAGTCATGTGGTCAGTCCCAGCAGAGGGCAGGGACATATGGGGAGCAGATGGAGGGTCTGGTCAGACACATGTTCCCTTCTTTCTCAAAAGACCAGCTACCGCTTGCTGTTAGAGTGGGTCCACCTCAGTCTTTCCCAACTCCTGAGAAGCCCCAGTTATTAGAAAGGTCTCATCTTACTCTTCTTTCATTGGTCAAAGTCAGTTTCATGGGCCACAATCAAGGTGTGGGCAGGCTGCACTCCCTCTGAAAGCCCAAAGGGAGAATCTGCTCCTGGCCTCATGGAGCTCCTGGAGGCTGCTGCATTCTTGACCAGGTCAGGTGACCCTGCCTCTGCCTTCTGCTTCACATGCCTCCTCTGTAGGATCTCCCTCTCATTCCTCACCCTGAGGAGTACCGTGACTGCCAGTGGATAATCCTGGATAATCTCCCCAGCTCAGGAGCCTTAGTGACATCTGCAAAGATCCCTCCCACCTTTTATAAAGTAATGTTTTGTGGGTTTTTAAAAAGATTTATTATTTCATTTATTTGTGCATACAAGATCTGGGGTATAGGACAGAGGTGCGGTGGAGGGGGCGGCGGGTGAGAGGATTCACCAGAGACAGAGTGGGGAGCAGAACAGGCAGATCTACTGAAGTACGCTGCTGAGGGGAGCAGAGGGCAAGACAGGAGAGTCTGTCTTGCCATGTGGGTCAGCTCTCTGGCCAGGGATATGTGCTGCAGTGGCTGCTGATAGCTTCATAGTGCTGAGACTTTAACCCCTGCAACACCAGGGAGGCCCTATAATGTTTACAATTTCCAGGGATCAGGATATAGGGGCCTTCTTCCAGCCTACCATAGTAGGTGATTAACAGAAAATAATGCCCCTTTATTCCTTCTGGATATCGTTCTCTGGCTAATGTGCAGGGTTAAGAAGAATTTTGAATAACTGGAGACTTTCTGTGGGGCCTGCTGGAAGAAGGAGGCGACATGCTTGTTGAACATTTACTATCCCCAGACACATAAGGTGTCACCTGGCTCGGAAGTACGCATTAATATTCCCATTTGAAAGAGGAGAAAATAGATGCCCAAAGAGCAATGGTCACAGAAGCAAAAGCAGGACAGTTGAAAGGAAATGAAACTGACAATTCAATGTTTTGACTTCTGACATTTTTTTGTATTCTTTACCAATTGCTAGCAAACCAAGATAAACTACATACTCTGTGCATGGGCGCCACCTGGTGTCCATGAGAAGTAATTCTCCCAGGAACATCCTGGCTCTGGGTTGTAGGACTGACATCTTCACTATCTGCTCCCCTATTATGGGGCATCTTATTTCTAGGGCCATGGGAGATGAAATTTTTCTAGTCCTTGATATCTGGGTTTGAATTTCAATTCTATCACTGACTGAGTAACCTGGGGCAAGTCATCTCCGCCTTTGATCCTCCATTTAACTACCTGAAAGTGACACCTGTCGGAGCTGTGGAGAAAATCTTGGGAAAGTGCTTTGTAAAGGGAATAACTGGAAGCAATGGAAAGAAGCATGGTCCACAGCTGGACACACCTGGATTCAATAAAACAAACAAACAAAAACCATATGTATTTGCCAGGCACTGTTCCGGATGTGGGAATGTAGTAATGACAGCAACGACAAAGACAAAATTCATGTTTTCATGTAGTCCGCTCTGTCAGTCCAGTTTCTGAGTCATTCATCCATTCATGCACAAATAGTTTTCTGGTACTACTTTTTGCCAGGCAATGAGCATAGAAGGAATCCAATGTGGCTGGAGCACAGGGAACCAGGGGGACAGGTTTAGCAGGGACAAGACCAGATTTTGTGAGGCCTGAAGCTTACATAATTTAGATTGTTTTCTTTTTTTTTTAGATTTATTTATTTATTTATACAAGCACTGGGTACAGTCAGAAGTGCGGGAGGGTGAGAGAATTCACCAGAGCCAGAGCAGGGAACAGAACAGGCAGACCTGACAAAATACACTGCTGAGGGGAGCAGCAGTCGGCCGGAGAGGTCTTCGTGCTTCGCAGCCCAGCACTCAACCGCTGCGCCACTGGGGAGGCCCCTAGATTATTGTTTTCTTAAAGAAAAAGAACAGTCATAAATGCAGAACTAGTTTAGAACGTGAAACAAAATTAAATTTTTTTAATTTTAAAAAAGAAAGGGAATATTCTTTTTTAGAATGACATTTTAAAAGCTGACAATATAACAAACCTCATAAAATCTAGAAACAACATTTTTTATTAATTACCTGCATGATATGGATCTATTATAATTTTTTCTTTCTACTTTTTACTATACAGTCTTTGACTATTCATAAAACAATAATTTTGTTGTCTTCCCTCAAAAATATAAAAAAGATAATTTGGTCTTGACAAGATTAACTTTTTGGAGTGGATAATTTCAGAAATTTTCCTTAAGTTGTAAAGCTTAATACCACAAAAATGTTAGGATTGTTGTCAAATCTGGGAAAACTTCTAAGTTTCTTTCATACATGAGCTATAAGGTGAACTAAGTTGACAACCCATTAACTACTTTTGTAGGTAACATCCCCAGGTAGTGGCATAGTATGTATGAGTTCTATGTGATCTTCAGTCATATCAATATTTCATGTCAAATAAGTGATAAAGTTAAATCTATTATATAATTCACTCCTATTAACTGAGTTATCAAACATTCCAAGAGCCTATTCATTATTTTTATTTGCAAGGTATCTATTCTTCTTAATGAATTACTACTGCTGTTATCTGGCCATTTCTCATTACAGGTGAGAAAAACAGGTTCAAGGGATTAAATTACTTCTTCAAGTAGCCCTTAGCTAAACGACTCCACCCTAGGGATGTTCAGAGACCAGGAGGAGGGGTCAGACAATGCCACCTGTCACACTTGGCCTACAGGGCCCGGTTTCAGGCCCTGTCATACTCCAGCACAGATGAGGTCCCGGGTCAGAGCTCCGGGAGTGCAAGTACCGAGACAGAGTGCGAGCTAGGCTTGGAGAGCCCCGCCCAGACCCGATACCGAGCCTTGGTCCAGCCCCATCCACTGCCTATAGCCCCCGCCCTTAGCCCCGCCCCTGCCTATAACCCCGCCCACCTCCCCCACCGTGGCCCGTGGCCCCGCCCCTCTCCAAGCCCGTTCTCTGTCGTCACGCCCCCTCGCCCGCCCACGTCCCGCCCCCTCCCCGCCCCGCCCCTCGCCTCGCCGCGCGCTCCTGACGCCGGGCGGGTTGAGGAGAGAAGCGCCGCGCGCCCGAAGCGCGGCTCCCGCGCCCCTCCTCCGGCCCCGGCTCCCGCGCGCCTCCTCGAGATCGAGCTCTGAAAGTAGGGCGCAGCCTGAGGCAGGCCGGGCGGCACCGGGGGGCCGCAGGGGCTCGGGGATGGGGGCTGCGTCGTCGGCAGCCCCACACGCGCCCGGCCGGCTTCTGTCAGGCGCGATCGCCGAGCGCCCGCCTGAGGGAAAAACCACCCGCGCTGCCTCCCTGGGCGGGGGCCGCGGTCCGGCTTCTCCTCTGCCACGCGGCGGGCAAAACGGTGCTCGTGGTCACCCCTCCGGCCTCAGTGTCCCTCCCGGAGCGCCGGGCCCGGAACTCTGAGGAGTCGTCCGCGGGGGCGACCTCGGCGTCTCCTCGCAGTCCGGGACGAGCCCCACTCCCGCCGCCCGGCGCCTCGCCTGCCCTCTCCCCTCGCCCCCCTGCACCCCGAGGAGCTCGGCCCCCTCAGTTCTCGCCTTTCTCCTCACCGCCCCCCCTCAGCCTCCCCCTGGCCCCCTGGAGCCTCTGCCTCGCGCCCGCCCGCCCGGGCTCCTATTATTAATTAATTGTATTGTGTTAGTTCAGACGTTCTGAGTTCCAGGGCGCTGTATTGATCGTGAGCTTCACTTCGCACCATGTCAATTCCGTCTAGAAATACCCCGTAGCCCCTCTGGGGGTTGAGGGGGGCGGGTGATGTGTGCTCGGGAAAATCGTTCTCGGTAATATTAAGTCACAGGTTGGAGCTGCCCCCCCCCCCTTAAAGTACGTTAATCATCGTATACCTGAGAGCAATTTAAAAGACAAATTGGGAATTTATTCCAAGATACCAAACGCACGGACTGGACAGGAAGAAAGTGGGACCAAAGCAGAGCCCAGGGAGCGCACTGGCAGTGAGACCTCCAGCTGCCCCGGGGGTGTGGGTGACGGGTTCCACTCTTGGGACGGAAATGGGCAGGGATCAAAGTTCTAGGTTTTGAATTCGTGGCTGACGTTGGTTTTTGCCTTTATTTAGGCTCCATTTTCTCTTTTATCGGGACTTTAAGTGATGAAGTAGGAAACCGCTTCTGTCTTAGCAGTATGACTACTTTTATGTAAACAACTTGATTCTTCTCCCCAAGTCAACCAGTGTTACAACATTCCTTTGCTGACCAATAGATCTATGAGAGTTTATTGAAAATAGGACAATTTGCAGTAATGTGCATAATATTTTTGCCATTCTTGGTTCAAAACATTTTAAATTTGGTCCTTGTTTCCTTTCTTTCCTTCTGATTTCTTTCTTGTAGTTTATTTTCTTGATTTTTTCCACTTTCCAGTCCTTTGAAATTCCATTATTTTTACTTCAAAAGTTAATTATTGAGGGCCTCCCCAGTGGCGCAGCGGGTTGAGCGCAGCGTTGTGAAGCTGTCAGCAGCCTCCTCAGCGCGGGTTCGATTCCCGCCGGCCAGGGAGATACCCACATGGCACGGCAGACCTCTCCTGCCTTGCCCGCTGCTCCACTCAGCAGTGTCTTTGGTCGTCTGCCTGTTCTCCCCGCTCTGTCTCTAGTGTAGCCTCTCACCCTCCTGTGCCTCTGGCCTGTACCCCAGCTCTTGTATAAAAATAAATAAATCTTTAAAAAAAAAAGTTAATTATTGAATAAACCAAACGATCAAAAAGTAAAGAAATTTAACTCCTGGATATAAATCCAACACTTATCAAACTCTTAAGTTTAAAAAGAGTAACAACCTGTGTTCATTTTTCTTAATTTGGTACACCTTTTCCTACACTATTGTTTTCTCCTGATTTCCATATCCTGTTTTTTTTCTAGCCTTCCTACTTTATTTATTTGACCATGTTAATAATCAGTTCTTTGTAGGATAAAATAAGTAAATTGTAAGATTAGTGATCAAAGTACATTAAACTAGGTGGGGTTTATAATCTAATAGAGTGGTCATTAGTCAAATTTTGTGGTTTAAATAAAGCGCCTTTTTAATTAGAAAAGAATTAGTTTAAATAAAGTTTTCTTAATTAGAAAGGAAATTGAATTGAATAACACATTGTGTTAGAAGATAAACTGGGATTATTTTGTAGAATTATGAATAATGTGTTTGCGTGCTTAAATTAATACTGAAAGATTTTTATAATCAATTTAAAAATATTTTTTATTGTTTCCTTTAATTCATTAAATATCACTAAGGAATACAGGCAACATGTTCTACACTCAAGTGCTTATGAGCAAACGAGGGCCGTTGGCCAAAATTTGGCTTGCAGCTCATTGGGAGAAGAAACTCACAAAGGCCCATGTATTTGAATGTAATCTGGAGATGACCATTGAAAAAATTCTTTCACCTAAGGTATGTTTTTGATTAAAATTACAGTATATGTATGCTATGACTTGTGAAGAAGAAGGAATTAAATTACATTTACATCATGAAATTCATTTCCAGGGAAATTTTATTTCTTAAATGATCTCTCTTTTAATCCCATTTATTATCTAAGCATAAATATTTATGCTGGTAATTGTTTCATATGCTTATTATAAATTAGGCCCTAAAGGATAGAGACCATCTTGTGTAATCCTTGCTTCTTAACGAAATATTGTGGGTGCCAAGTAGTATTTTTTAGAAAATGAGTGAAGACTAGGGAGAGTAGAGAGAGGACTGCATAGAAAGAAATCAGAATATGTATAAGAACACTTCATAAACAATATTAAGTTCATTATGAAACACTATGATAAGCTATTAGAATTTACATTATATTATTATTTTAATATTATTATAGGTTAAGTATTTTTCTGCTTGAGAGAAGGATGAATTATAATTGAAAGCCTGCCAGGTGTCAGGCACTGGACAAGACTTTTGTTAGTTTACTTAATCTTCACAACAGCCCTATGAGATGGACTTCTTTCAGCTTCGTGATGTGTGGTATACAACATGAACTTTTGAATTGGTGAAATTTAAATTTAATTACTGCTCAGTAATTTAATAGTTATGGTACTTTGGGTTTGCTACTTAACCTATCTGAGGTTTTTCTTCTGTAGAGGTTGCTGTCAAAATGAAATAAATGTATGAAAAGCTCTTAGAACAATTCCTGGATTACAAAATAAGTATATAATAAACTGTAGCCATTATTAATAAATTGAAGTTCAGGAAGGTTAAATAATTTAGACTCAGCAACTGAGCCAAGACTTGAACCCAGGTGTGTATGACTGCAGAGTTTATAGTTTCCTATGGAACCAATAATGGCTTTCTTTACTTAAATGCCACATTAGAACATCTTCATAGAGTAAGAAAAAAAGCCAATCTTTCACAAAGTGAGTAAGAGTTAAGTGTTTTACTTTATATAGTATTAATCTAAAAAGTCTACTTTTTACTTAGAAAAGATTCCTGTGACTTTGTAATTTTCAAAGAACAGGGTGTTGAATCTAATTTTTAATATTCTAATACTTTAAAAATTATTGAAAGGTGAAAATTGCACTTCGAACTTCAGGACACCTTCTTTTGGGAGTTGTTCGAATCTATAATAGGAAGGCAAAATATCTTTTGGCAGATTGCAGTGAAGCATTTCTTAAAATGAAGATGACATTTCGCCCAGGTATACATGTTATATTGATTTATCTCACTTGTCTTGGTTCACTTTAGCATTTTCATTTTGAGTTAGTTCTTTTAATTGGCAGCACTCTATAATTCCAGAGTGAGTTTAGTGACTCAATCATTTTCACTGAATCTAAGTCTGCATGGTTAAGGACAATCAGATTCTTTCCTTTGCTCTTCCTTTGTTGCAGGGAAAAGTTAGCTTTCAAAAATTTGTAATGTTCCTCCATATTTTCATAAGAAATATACTTAAAACTACAATGCTTGTGTAAGAAATTCAGATATCCAGGTTTTAATGGGTCATTCAGCTTGCCTTTTTCTTTTTGTCTTTATGAGCGATATTAGAAATAGTGTGATTGACAAAATCTAGATATCAGTAATTATCAGTTTTCAGAATTCTGAAGACTTGTAAGTAGCATGTTATTTATGAAATATTATTTTAAAAAAAACTCTAGGCATTCCAAAGTGCTAGAGATTTACATGTGTCATAAATATACTACTTCCAAAATTTAACTTACATAACATCTGTTCCACTTTTAGATATTCACCATTTTCCCCTTTATATTATGGTTATTTAGGTACAGGATTTGCCTCTCGCTAGTCTACAAGCTCTTCCAAGGGAACGTTTTTGTCCTACTCAATTTCTGAATCTCTTACAGAATTGTGTAGTGCTTTCCACATACTATTGCCTCAATTAATATTTGTTGAATCAAGATTGTCAGTTTTTTTTTCTTTATTTAAAATACTTGTAGAAGCTCTTGTTGGAGTTAGACTCACATCAAATATAGTTCATTTGTTCATTATTTCATTTATACATTCTTACAAATATTTATTGATCCCATAACTTGTGCCAAACAACATGTTAGGCTCTGCGATACAAGACCAAACAAGAATAGCAAGGTAACACGGTTCCTTTCAGTCTGGTGAGGAAATCAGATAATGCAAAAGTTTATTAAATTACTACAGTAAGTTGATTTGTGCTATGAAGAAATTTGAAGAGTATTGCCATGGAAAATAAGAGGAATCTACTTTAGTTAGACTATTTGGGAAAAGCCTTTCTGAGGGGATAAAATTTAAGCTCAGCCTTGAAGAATGAAAAGTACCCAGCCATGTAAAAAGTCCTGAGGGAATAGCATTCTGGGCAGAGGGAACTGCAAGAGCAAAGGTCTTGAGGTGGAAAGTGCTTGATTTGTTGAGGGAACAAAAAGGCCAGTATGGCTGGAGCTTACTGAGAGAGGGAAAGAGTGTCATCAGATGATGCTGATAGATTTGTAAGGCTGCAAAGGCCCTGATTAGAAATTTGTATTTTATTTCAATGCACTGGGAAGTCACTGAATGATTTCAAGCATGGGAGTGACCTGATCTGAGTGCATTTTTAAATATCACTCAAGTTCTTTGTAGAGAATATACTAAAGAGAGCTAGGAATGGATTTGGGAAACCAGTTAGGACACTAAGAAGTAGTCCAGTGAGAGAAAGTGGAGTTTAATTAGGGCTGTCTTATTTATACAACGTCATTGCTTATGGAATGTGGTTTTTTGATTCTTTTCAGGACTAGTTGACCTTCCAAAAGAGAATTTTGAAGCAGCTTACAATGCTATCACATTGCCAGAAGAATTTCATGATTTTGACACCCAGAATGTGAAGTAAATTATTTTATTATTCCCCTTCAGTTTTATTTTCTCTACTATTTTCATCTTTGGATTTCACGAACACACATGGAATGTACTTAATAACTGACATATATATGCAGACTCAAATTTAATGTGAAATTTCAAACTTCAAAACTAGAAATGTATAATTTTATTTGTGGAATGTGGTATGCAATAATGACTTGTTCACTCATTCAATAAATATTTATTGGTTGCTTATTGGTTGCTTTCTATAAGCCAGGTATTTGTTTCAGGCTCTGAAGAGATAGCAATGGATAAAAGACAGTTTATGGTCTTGTAAATCTTAACATTTTAGCTAGAATAGACAGAAAATAAGTAAATATACAATATGCCAGGACATGACCAATATTATAAGGAGAAATAGAAAAACTAAATAGAAGGATGATTAAGAAAGTGTTTTCTAATAAGGTCAGAACAGAAACTCAAAGGAGATGAAGGGACAGATTATTCAGTAATGTAGAGAAGAATGTTCCAGGTCAAGCAGATGGAAGGGCCCTAAGGCAGAACACATTGGACATTTTCAAGGAATACAAGGAGGCACAAGTGTGGTTAAGTGGTAGAAGATAAGGTCAGAGAGGTAACTGGGGGTGCAGGTGATATAGGATGTTGTAGGCTACAATAAAGACTTTTATTTATTTATTTTTTGGTGGGACCCTCGCTGGTAGCCAGGGAATGAACCAGCGCTGCAGAGGCTGGCAGCCTCACAGCCCAGCGCTCAACCGCTGCGCCGCCAGGGGAGGCCCTACAATAAAGTTTTGAATGGAAGAGTGATAGGATCTGACTTGATTTTAACATGCTTCCTCTGGCTACTTATTGCAACAGGGAAAGAGAAGCAGCAGAGAGCCTGTGGAAAAAAATTATTGCAGTAAGAAATCCAGGTGCAGGCTGATGGTGCATGTATTAGAGCATATTTTGAAGGGCAGAGCCTATAGGATTTGGTGAAGGACTGGGTATGACTTTAAGAGAAAGAGAGAAGTGACACATGACTATGGTTTTTGACATGAGAATGGAGTTGCCATTAATAAGAATTAGTATCACTTGGGAATACCAGGTTCAAGAAGGGTGATAGCTGGAAATTAGGTTTTGGACATAAATTTTGAGATGACTGTACACATCCAAGGGGGTCGATAAGCAATTGAATAGCTGGGTTTGAAATTCAGGAGAGTGGTCTGGACTAGACTGTATAGGTAAATTGGGGTGTTGTGAGAATATGGATAGACTATGAATCATGATAGGTTCCCAAGGGAGTGCATGTAGATTATAAAAAGAGAGAGAGATCTGACGACTGAGTATTGAGTCATTCCCAGTAGTTAATATTCTGGGAAATAAAGAAGAAGTAATAAAGGAGAAAGAAAAGGAGCAGCCAATGAGGTAGGAAGAAAACCAAGAGAAGGTAGTAACCCAAAGGCCAAGAGAAGAACGTGTTCTATGAGGAAGGAAGTGAATATTTATTTCAATTGCTGCTGGTTAGGGTAAGTAAGATAAGAATAATACTATTGAGAAAATAACAATCTTTATTTTTATAATACAACTTGTTTTTTGTTTTAGGTTTTTGTAGTGTACTACAAATCATTGTGTCCTGTTCACATATTTTCCTCATGCTTACATTTCTCCATAGTACTATTGATGTTTCAGAACACTTCACTCAGAACCAAAGCAAACCTGAAGAAATCACACTTAGAGAAGATTATAGCAATGATCTACTTTTCCAAGCTGGGAGCTTTGGTGAGAATATTCGAGAAATTAAAATTATAAAAATCAACTTTATTTACATTTTTGTATTGAAACAATGCCAATAGAAGTAGCTATTTTTATGGTAGTAGAAATATTTTTGGAATGAATCTTTTGATGTATAAATGTAGCTCCCAACAAGTTTTTCCTTGCCTTTATTATAGACATTAGTGGTATAAACTTTAAAGATGCATTTCCTGCCCACAAAGAGCTTCAGACTGGGAAAGAGACATGTAAATAAGCAGTTGCTGTAGTTAACATATACGAGGCTTTACATGTGTGCTGCATACAATGCCTTTAAAATATGGTGTGTTCTCTAATATATGATGATATCAATCATAAAATCCTAAGTTAAAAAATAGCTTAGTAGTGAGAAGAAGGAAAGTCTATACACTAAATACACATTGATTATGGCATAAGAACTGTTGAGTGTGTTTTAAAATTGAAACTACAATTGAAACTACCTTTCTGTCTTTTATCACACTTAACCTCCTCTATTGGTCTGAAAGTTCCATGAGGATGAGATATTTATCATAATTCATCTTTGAATTTTTTATAGTACCCAAGCAGTGAGTATAGGAGAAAGATGGCCTGAATAAATCTGTCTTGGATTTAGTAAAGGAAGCAAAGTGGTAAAGGAAGTAGGAGGTGATGCTTGAGCTACATCTCTGACCTCTACTCATCCTTACTCTCCTTCCATAACTCTATCATCTATGGCTGTATTTCTGAAATCATCTGAGGTTAAGGGTAATTTTATAATTTTTGTCAGTTTCCCATCTGACATGGAATCATACATTTGTAAAATAAAATAAATATTATTTACTACAAAAATGTAGAAATTAAAATATGAGACTCAAGTCTTGTAACTAGATTCAATGAAAATAAAATTACTCTGTGAAGTTGTTATAAATCTTTCCAAACACTTGGGTCTCCCTGGTGGCCTAGGAGTTGTCTCAGCACTATCACTGCTGCAGCCTATGTTCCATCCCCTGCCAGGGAGCTGACCCACATATGGCTCCGCAGACCTCTCTTGTCTCTCCGACTATTGCCCTTGGCAGTGTGCTTCATTCAGTAAATCTACCAGTTCTGCTCCCCACTCTGTCTCTGATAAATCCTCTCACCCCTTCCCCCATACACCTCTGGCCTACACCCCAGTTCTATACAAAGCAAAACAAAAAAGCTTTCTAAACCATTCCCTGTAATTTGCGTATTTACCGTGTCCTTGAGCAGCACTAGTCCACCAACCCTACTTTGAATGGTATGGGTCTTAATCTGGCTGTAACCCCCAAACTTTGACAGAGTTCATCGCGTCTCCTGCTACTCAAGATAGTGTTTATATGTTTCCCTGTAAATGCTACTACCCTTCAGGCCTAAAACTTTAGGATCACTTTTAATTTTACTTTCTATAAATTTCATAATAAGGCAGATTAAAAAAAAATCTGAAATGTCTCTTAGGTCTTCTTTTAGTTTCCCTAGCCACCCATATATTTCACCAATTCTAACGGCCTAGAGCATTGCAATACCTTTAGCATATCTTCTTCCCATCTCTTCCCATGTGTTATACATTTTTGCAAAATAGCTTATTCTTAAATTCCATTTTTTCATGTTACATTCTTCTTCTAAGTGCCTCAACTCTATGATTTACTAATAGCTATTCTGTTAGCTTTATTTGTTTTACTCTTAATACAGACATTTTACTATAGTCAAGCAAATGTCTTTACCAGTCAATCAATACAATTTAGTGGTTCTCAGTTCTAATTCTTCCACAATTCAAAAAAAAACCAAGAAAAATCTTTTCTTAATAGACTGTAATACCTCAGTTTGAATCTGATCTTTAATATCACATAACATCTGGAAGATGTGTATGTCTTTTTAGTTCTTTTGAACTAGTTGATCTTTTCAATTGAGCAGGTCTTTACAGTTCAGGGCAATGAAAGTTGCTTTTTTCCGCTTTTCCTTTCCACTAGTCCTTTCTAGGACTATAGAATTTTTTTTTAAGATTTATTTTATTTATGCATATACAAGAACTGGGGTACAGGCCAGAGGTATGTGGGGGATGGTGAGAGGATTCATCAGAGACAGAGCGGGGAGCAAAACAGGCAGATTGACTGAAATACACTGCTGAGGGGAGCAGTGGGCGAGGCAGGAGAGGTCTGCTGCACCATGTGGGTAGCTCCCTGGTGCTGAGACTTAACCCCTTGCGCCCCCAGGGAAGCCCCCCCAGGACTCTAGAATTTCCAACACGAGTGAAATGTAATATTTGTCTTTCTTGACTGGCACTAATGTGGGTTGTTAGAGAAAGGGAAGAAGAATCCAACCTCTGACTTACGGGGTGTCAGCCTCCGAGACCTAGATTCAGACCCAAAGAAGCAAAAGAATATGCATGTACTCAGAGCCAGTCTGGAGCCGGGTCATTTGAGGCAGGGAGTTCATTATATCTGCTGCCATCAGGTGCTTAGGGTTTTCTCTCATTAATCTCCTTTTTGCAAAATAGTTTGCCAGTCAGAATTCTGACACTGATATTATCACTGTCTCTGCTAGGTTCAGTTCTTGGCTCTATCATTTATTAGGGTATGACTGTGCACCTTCTGGTGTGCATATTTCCTTATCTATACAGGATAATAATAATATCTTCTATTACGTAGTATAATGCACATAATAAACACAGTTAACTTTAGCTGACCAAGTTTTATCTTTTTTATTGTTGTATCTCCAACCCCTATTACTCATTTATTCAATAAATATTTGTTGAATGAATATTAGAGGCCCATTCTTTAATATTTTACCTGCCTTTCAATTTCTAAGAAGGCTATTATTCTTATTTTCCAAACCTCCATTATGGATAAGCAACATAAGCAATTGCCCTGGAAAGAGTACTTGATCAGGTCGGGCATGACCTACCTGAAGTAGAAGAGATTATTCCACTACCAATAGTAAACTTCTAGGAAATTATTAAACTATACCACAACTAAAAGCTCTATTCTAATGTTTTTGCTTCCCCCCACTATTGTATTAGAAACAGCATTAGACTAGAATTCTGGTCTCCATTGAATAACTGAGTGACTTTATTTTACTAATTTCAAATAAGTTTTATAGTTCTCATTATCTTCTTCTGCAAGATATCTGCTTATAAGAATATCTGAATTGCTGTTACTAACTCATATTAATTACATATGTAGGGGAGGAATCTGAAGTTCTCAGAAGAAATAGCTTCTTTGATGACAACATCTTACTGAATTCCAGTGGTCCTTTAGTTGAACATAGTTCTGGAAGCCTCCCTGGTGATAAATGTGTGTTCTATGACAGTGGAGATGGATTTGGAGATGAAGGGGCTGCAGGAGAAATGATTGGTATGCTGTCTGGTCATATAGCAATTGTATATGTATTTTAATCAAATTTTTACAATTTGTTATACTTATTAGCTCAAACTAACAATTTAGATATACTTCAATGTCAATACATTTTACATGTATTTTTTGGTACATTTAAACATTTAGATTAGGCCTAAGTCAGTGGCCATCTGTTTTAATATCTAATCCATATTGGTTTAAAATACCACTTTAAAAAAATCTTACAAATTCCTAATTTTTAGAGGAAAGGAGTAAGGTTAGTATATTCTTTCCAAAATATATCAGGTGATATACTAGAAAACATTGATTTTTGTTAACAGAAATTATGGGACAGCTATTCTAAAGGCTCTGTCTAGCATTTTGAATTATTTCATTTTTATTTTGTGATATGAAGTAATCATAGAAGTAAGGTATATAAAAACTGGGAAATCCAAATGCACATATTTTAATGATATTGACTATTTATTATATGCCAACATTTTTGAAAACCCTCTAGTTCATAGTATAAGTCTGGTTATGGTAAACATTTTGAAATTTTAGAACTTAAAAAAAAAGTGACTCTACCTTAGATCTCCACCGAATAGTTTGATACTCCTTTTTTCTTGATTTGAAAGCTAAATATGACTTTGGAACAGTGCTACTCTCTTGGTGTTTGTTTAATAAATATTTGCTGAAACTAAACATCTGAGAGCAGATTTTTAATAAAGGAAAGGAAATTAAATATATGAAGTTCTGTGTTACCCTACATGAAATGTGGTGTGTAACCAATCAGATCTAAGCAAGGCTCATTCAATTTTGTATCCTTTCACAATCCCTTGCATATAATCAGGCCAATAAATGTTTAGTAAACAAATGACACATTCAACTCTATATGATCAAAGTATTTATTGTATTTATCAAGACAACCTCTTGCAAGATGATCAGAATATCCTGTTAGAAGACATATCATTGGACAGAGAAATCTCCCTGCCTCCTGAGCCTCCTGATACATTAGTGGGTATGTTGAAAATTTTCTTTGTGTAGAAAGTGATCAGATACTAATATTCAAATTAAGCCTCAGAACTTGTGAGTTTAAATAGCAGTACAGTATAGTGAAAGACAACAAAGAATGTTGTCTCTCATTATCTGATTCTGGACAATATAGAATCAAAAAATAGATCCTGAAAGGGGCAATGATAGGTATTTAACTAGGATTAGGTTTATTTGGTATAAAAAGCACCCTTAAACACTCTGCCACATTCTGTGCTTTTGAATCATTAAAATAACAGGTCACATGGTAAAAGCATAATTAATATTTAACATCAGTATGGTTATTTTTGATATTAACAATATTAATGCCATGTTAATATTAATAGGACTTGCCAATTACATACAGCTTGAGAGAAATTTAAAATGTGGGGATATTTTCTACTTAAAATTCATGTGAAATACTTCAGGTGATTTGAGGTTTTTTAGTGTGATTTTTCTTAAGAATTAAAAATACCATTAGCCTATTTTGATTTTTTATTCTTTTTGGTGTTACATTTTCTTTCTAATATTGTACAATAGTAGAAATTAAAAATGTGAAGAGAGATTTGCAATAAAAATTTAGTTACAGTTCTTCATGGGTTAACAAATAAATGATTTTACAAAATAAATAATAAAAAGCAAAATTTTTTTTAACAGACAGATAGTCAAATTTACATCAGTGATTTATTATGGTAGCCCAGCTTAGATTTCACATGTACAAAAGACACCGTGGGTCCCAGGTCATAATCTCTGGGGCCCTTCAACTCTTATTAAATGAAGGAGTCTAAGAATTCAGATGTGACTGCGGTTAATAATTATCACTTTAGTTTTCATATAGTCCTCTATCTTGCAACATAGCATTGAAAAAAATAATTCCTTTTATGGCAATGTTGATTTGTAGAACCAGATAATGCAGAGAATATATGCCTACCTGAAAATGAAAAAATGAATGAAACCACAATATCAAATGAAGAGGAAGGATTCACCCTTGACCCAGTTGATGCTGCAGGTCAATTATTCATGTTTTTATTTTTATTTTTGATACACTTCTATCTTATTTACTGAGATGTCTGAATGATTTATAAACTAGTATAGAGAACAATAAATCTAGTAATAATATTTATAATAGAGGAAGAGTATGAAGAATATTTGAGATAGTCCTTTTTTATATTTCAGCCTGGTAAAACTGTATATTTGGGTTGAGAAACTAAAACTTTTAAAAATGAGTTCAATTCCAGTAGTTATTGAGCCATTACTCTGTGTTTGGCACAGAAAAGAAGGCATAGTTTCTGCTCTAAAGAAGATTTAGAATCTGATTAGGAACATAATAAACATACAAATGAATGTAAAATAAGACAGAATGACAGGATTGAGAGAGAGGTATTATGCCCTCTAATGTTTGACCTCAAACATGTTTTTAGGAATAAACAATACATAAAAATAACTAGACCTTTTAAGGACATCTTAGTTTTAAATAGTATAATTGATTAGAAACTTAAGATTATAAACTTAAGCATGTCAGGAATGAAGCATTCAAGTTTATTTCTTTACTAAATTCAATTCTCAACCTCTATCCCTCTGGTCTGTCAAGAATTTCTATGTGCATAGCCCTTCTGTAGGGGCAGGATGGCACTGAGCAGGATATCTAGGATCAGAGCAGACCGGCGGGTAAAGGAGGAGTCCTGAGACCCTCCGTGGCTTTCTCAGGCTTTTATTGAGCTTTTACATGTAGTGTAGCAAACAGGCACATAGCAGGCAGGGCTGCTGGGGGCCAGGAGGCCAAGAGGCCTCCAAGCACCTAGCAAGTCTTCACTCTGGGTTTCTCGGGCCTTCTTTCTCCCCTTCTTTCTCCTGCCTCTTCTCTCAGTGAGCATCTCAATACTGCAGTCATGGTCCACAGAAGTAAACAAAACAGCTTACAACAATGTAACAACTGCAAGTGCTGCAACAGGCAGGGCAATCCTAATGGTGGGAGGGCAGAAAAGCCTGAAAACCATTTACCTTATACCTTCTATTTGCCCTAAGCCATGAAGTATCAAAACTTGGGGGAGAAAGGGAGCAGGGAACTGTCTGGTCATCAGCCACACCAGTTTTTGGTGCTCCCTGTCCCAGACTACAGATTCTGGGGTCATTACACAGCCTGCTCTTATGGGATCTTGGCATATTCCCAGGATTTTACTGAGTCCACCATTAAGCAGGTTTCTGTTCGTCTGGCTCCATATGATCTGGGATCCTCAGCCATCCTGGGGAGACCTAACCTTCCCTCCCCTTTTGCCTCTTTCCCAAGGAAAAGTTTGTCTTCTGCTTTCTACCTGGTAAAATAAGTGAAAGAAGTGAAATCATCTGGGCTTAATCACCAATTTGGAATTTGTGTGTGTATTTCAGTGGGGGAGAGAAAAACATACTATACAAATACAAATTAATGTTTCAAAAAGTTGTCCTGTTATGTAGCTATCCCAGGGAACCTCAAAATTGAGTGACTTCCCTGACATTATACCCTCTGCTCCACATTTCTTCAATTGCCTGTTTAGTAGGTCAAGAGAATCCTTTCTTCTAAGTATCTTTGAACAACTTGCCAAAATGTGTCAACTATTGGCTGCTCAAGCACTCTATGTGTACAAAAACCTTGTGAAGCATAAGTTTCAGTAGAGAGAAGAGTATTTTCTTCCCAAGGCAACTCTGTAGGCTGTATTGTGGCAGACATCTCTTAGATATACAGTATCGTCTTATCAAGTACAACCAGTCACATTGTGCCTGTTTCTTATATTTAGACATTGCTGATAAAAGGAAAGGCAAAAAGAGAAAATTGCTCATAGATCCAATCAAGGAGATCAGTAGCAAAATTATGCATAGACAGCTTACTTCCTTTACTGACACACTCATGGTTCTGGAACTTGCACCTCCTACCCAAAGACTGATGATGTGGAAGAAGAAAGGGGGAGTGGATACACTTCTGTCAACTGCTGCCCAGGATTTGACTCATGCTGAACTAAAATTGGTAATAATTTCCATCTTTTTTTCATGGGTGCAATGTTTGATTATAATTAAATAAATGTATATTTACATTCATATATACAACAGAATTTAAACTTGTGAAAAAATACCCCTTACTTTTGAATTAATTTGTTGAATGTCTGTGCAGGAATTATTGTTTTTACTTTTTAGGGCATGTGCTTGTATTTTATTGCATTGTCTTTTTTGTACAAAAACCAAAATCAAAAATGTTTATTTTTACAGTTATTTACAAAGTGCTTTCTGTCCTCTGGCTTTAAACTTGCAAGAAAATTGATACAGAAGGAGACAGTCAGGGAAGAAAATGGAAAGGAAAACATAGTAGGTAAGGCATCCTAACTGCTGGTTTTGAGGGAATGTTGTAGAAAAAAATCACTTTACATTTCAAGATGAAGATGGAATCAAAGTCCTGATTTCCAGGTATAAGTGTTATTGCTAGAAAAATATTTGAACATAAATTGTGTTGTTAGCATTTCTTTTATCTGCTTTGTGGATTAGTTTTTGTCCAGTAGGCTACAAAATAGATGAAGTATTATATTATGTGGACTATTCTTAATCTCACTCTTTCTTGCTTTTCCTGTCTTCAAACCTTCAACAAAGACATTATTTTTTATATCTAGTAGAATAATATTTTGCTTTAATACAACTAACATGAAAAAAATCACCTAGTAATAAGAATAGCATTTAAACAACACAATTTACTTGAGACAGATATTTCTATCCACCAATAGAATATTTGGAATAATACTTGCTGGTGATATTGTGACAATTATAATGTAATCATGAACCCAAATTATGTGATAAGTGAATCTTCACTTCCTGATCACTCTTCACAAAGACATTAAAATCCACTGAACAATATACAAAGATGATCTTGAGCTATCCGTGTTGTCTTGTGAAGGAATGTATGGAAGTGAGTGTGGAGGAGATAGTTGGTAGAGCATGATGATAAAAAGTCAGGGAAGAGGAAAGGGAAGACAGACTGTGAAAATTAGGAAGCCATAAGAAAATGCATGCACTTTCTGCTTAAATTCTTGAAGATGTCTGTCAGAAGTTTACTTTTATAACAACTACATACCAGTTTAAATTTGAAAGATATTTTGGTGAAATATTCTTTACTTGCTTAATAATTTAGAAACCTCTCTGATGGAAGAGCCAAATTTCCAGAAAGAGTTAAGTCAAGCCCAAATTTGGAAGGGTGTGATTAATGGATCTAAGTGTAACTCTCATGAAGATGCCATCAAAAATATTAACTCTGAGGTAAGTTCACCAGAGAATCCATTGAAATACCATTTTTCTGACACAAGTAAAGGAACATTGAGATTCTGCTATCTTGTTTTACGTTCATAGTTTATATTTCATCTTACATTATCCTATTTTTTTATTAAGTAGCAGTACTATAGGGTAAAACTTAATTTTCATCTGCAAACAGTATTTTCTAGAATTTTAAGATAGTAAGTCACAAGATAAGTAGTTTTGTACTGAAATGGCATTTTGCCTTATTTTACCTAATGCCTTAAATAATTGCCTGTGCTTGAATTTGACTCTATGCTGAAAATCCTGCAAGACTTCCCCTCACCCCCACGTTCAGTGTGCCATGGAAAATGTTAGAACGCTAGATAATAAATCTATGTTTTGTTTCTGATAATAAATTGATCCTCTGGCCTCTGAGAATAATATGTTTTAGACCCACCAAATTACTTAAGTCTTGGATCTGAAAGTGCCTAAAGATCTATGACCAAAACAAAATTTAAAAATTTTTATTTGAAGACATAGTTTTTATTTGTAAAACATAGTTATGAGAAAACATAGTTAGAAACAATATGCTTTAAAGCATTTCCCCAGTTGTTACTTCATTGATTATATAAATGTAAATATTATAACCATACCAGGTAAAAATATGGTAGTACTTTTCTGTTCTATTCCATTATCACTGTATTTTGATAACCTCCCAGGGAATTTAAGATCAATCCACAATGAAACTGAATGCCCTTTGGCAGGAAAGACAGTTTTATAATTAATTAAAACAGAATGCTTTTTGCTAAGTATTTGATAATATACTAGATGTTGAGATACTAAGTTACCAGCATCTCCTATCCTTACTTGGACATGGGCATTTCTTAGGGTGAACCTACTGGAAATTATGAGAGGTATTAGGCAACTTTGTTTAGTTTATGACTTTTTTTGCATATTAATAAAGTAGATTTTCCCACGTGCTTGAGATGAAGGAGATTGATGCACCATTTCTTTTGAACCTTTTACTACTACTTTACCCTATACTTATACTTTAACCATTTAATGCCATTCTTATTCTGCTTCCCAAAATGGTGAACAGATGTGAAATATAGCCAGGAATGGGAGTACAGTGTGAAGAGACAAATATTGATTCCAATTAAACATTTTCAGATCTTTATAAAATAAAAGTTTCAGTAAAGTAACTGCAAAATGCAGCATCTCTCGAATGTAGAACTTTTATAGAAATTAAAGGCAAGAAAACACAAGTAGTTTCCCCAAACATGTATATTAAAGCATAAAATGCAAAATTTTAAAAAGCTGAAGTGAAAAATCAAGTAAACTGTGTTGTGGGAAGCTTGTAACTTAATCAAGATCACAGATGACAGCTGGGCAGAGAAATTTGGAGATAGGTTGAAGATGAAAAGGGGGCCAACAGCTTCTACAGCAATGAAAAAGGGAGTTAATAGGAAAAGAGAATTTCTGGCTTCCTCATTTTCCTTTCTTTCATATTTCTATTCACTTACTTTCCAGAGGGCAGTTTTTCTTTCCTTTTGCCTGTAACAGCTCCAGCAGCAGTGGCAACAATTCAGTCTTGGCCCTAGGTAGAGATATTAATATCCCTTCCCTCATTCTCACACCTTTTGCTGCAGATCGCCTGCCTCTGCCACTTGGTCCTGGCGTGAGAATAGAGGCAGGGGACTGAGATTAGACAAAATACTCAAAAGAAGGTGGTCTCAGCCATACAGTAGCGAGACTTTTGATGCTGTCTGGGAAATAGGAGGGGAAAACGGATAAGGAGGACCGGGACATGCAAGTTATTCATGTAGGAGGCATGAATTAAATAGAAATATTTAATTCAGTGGCACCCTATCTTGGATTTTGCAGAAATAATGTTTTGCGAATGTAGCCTGTATTTTAAATTAGTTTTATAAATGTACATTTATGTGATTAAAGCATTTAACAAAATGAGATTGTTCTGTGGCCCTACTACTACTGATGACATCTCTTTCTCTAATTTACTTTAGCTGGATATTGTTGAAATGATTTCTTCAGCTGCTGAGGAATCCTCTCTTATAAATGGCATCTTGTCACAAGAAATTGAAAATTGTCCAGTTGAATCGGTAAATATATGTAAAGTCTTGGGAATGTTCTTAAAAAACCTTGTGTCTAAAAAAAAATAATAATAACAGTATAAAACACAACAAAGCAAAAACAGACAATTACAAATCAGAGACATACTGCAGGGGAGGAGGAGGGAGAGGGATCAAAGGGAGGGAGGGAGGGAGGAGCACAGGAGACTGGTGATGGTGCACGGGTGCCTTGGGGAAGGAAATTCTCTGGGGACTCAACCTGAGGGGGTGGGGGGAAGAAAATATTGTTTAAAAAAAATTAAACAAACAAACAAAAAAAACCCTGTGTCTAAATGTTTAACAACTTCTTTACCTAAAAACTGGGTTTTAGAGTTATCATGTTACTTTCTAAAATTATAATTTAACGATCTCAACAAAGATGTGTATGAGTAGTTTGATAAAACATATTCAGAATTGCTTTTATCTTTTTTCCCTATCTCTATCTGGAAACTTCAAATAATTTTAACAAAAGGTGTGAGGTAGTCACTGGTTTAAAATGTTGAGAATCACTGTTTTAAGTTTATAGCATCTCTAAAGAAATAGAGCTTTATGGGGTATAGCCTAGCACTTTTGAAATTCTTTTTTGCCTTTTTCCCTAAAATGTATGCCTTTTTCCCCAAAAAACATACATCACAAGGCTTATATCTGTACAAGACTTCTAAAAATCAGAGAAGGAAAATGGTTTGCTCAAAGGGCCACAAGTAATGGCAAAGCCAGAAGTAACATGTGACTCACCTGGCTCTACATAGATCACTGTCTTATTTCTCTGGTCCCTGTCTTTCAGGACTAAAGGCATTTTTAAAGATTGTAATGAGTTCTAGCAAAAACTTCTGTTAGTAAATAATATCAAAGTGCCAATTAATACTCGACGTTAACTTGTCTTTCAATAAATTTTCTTTATAATGAGTTTCAAGACTATTGGATTGTTTTTTCATACTGGAAAACATCCTGAATTCTCTGGAGAAAATAAATACCAGAACTTTTTACCTGAAACATCCAAACAACTGAGCCAGATTGATGCTTTTTCAACTATCTCTTTGCTTGTGTAGACACCGGTTATTTTTATACATGGTCAAGCAAATCATGACACAGCACAAGATCAGCTGTTTTAATGATCCCCTGAGCTTTGCACACAATTAATTCTGCCGTACCGTGTCCAGATAAATCAAGTGGACAGGCTTCAGCAAATTGCACATATAATTTCTTCAGAGGCTTTTCCTGGCTGATTTAACTGTGCATTATAGGCGGTGCTGAGTCTAATGGATTGTTAACAAAGAGTTGGACCTCTGCTTTTTAAGTTTGAAAAATAGCAATGTGTATTTAACAATAAAGTAAATATTAATGGTTGAAAGGGCTCATTTATCTCAGGACAGGCTAGAAAGGAATAAACATAAATTGTGGCTTGAAGGATATAGAAAATTCTTCAGAATAAAGTGACCTTATTTTCAGATCATCTTTTTGGAGTGTGAAAAGGGATATAGCATAGGCAGGTTCTGGAAACTAGGGTCACTGGTAAAAATGAGGCCTCAGTAGCCCTCCTAGCCTTAAATGATTTAAAATGTCATATAGATTATTCTGGAACTTTCTGAGTTCATCCCAAAGCCCATGAAATTGAAAACATTTTAAGGAAGTATCTGGACTCTAGAGTTAAGCATAAAGGCTTGACAATGGTCCTGTGATAATGATGACACAGATGCTATTGGGCATAGTTAGAGCTAGCCTTGGAAAAATTATAAAGTAGGTCAGATTTGTGCCACTTTCCTTCCCCCAACCCTCTGTAGGCCTGCACTTTACCAGACTCATCAGCACCTTTCCTGTGCCCAGTTTCTCTTCTCAACTCATAAAGTGTTATTTGGTAAAGGCTTAGAATGAGTTCCTGTGAAAGGATTTCAGACACTGAGGTATTTCTGAAGGTGGCTATGTTTTAAAAATTGAAAAGAAGTCTCTCTTCATAAAACATGATGGGCAGTGGGTTCATCTTTTTTGTCCAAGGCATCCTTGAAATCTGAAAGGTTTATAATCTAGGTGTACACAATCTACCAAACATCAGTTATTGTTAGAACTTCTGTATTACCAGGTAAATTCAGATAAAGGCAGTTGACTAGGCAGTTTTTCTATAATTTTATGTGTATTCCTGTCAACTGAGTTCTGATTAACCAGAGCTGGGATGGTGCTAGCCAAGTGTTTTCCTGCTGACTTTATTTCTGGATGTAAGAACCCAGTGCCCTGGGATGCATTACCAATAAGACTGCCAAACCTCCTACTCCGGAGTTCTTATCAGAAGATGGCCTAGGGAGTATAGCTGCAAAGGTTGAGCTATATTTTATATGTTTATGTGACTATCAGTTCCTATTTAGCAGGACCCAGTGTTACAGTTAAAATTTCTTGTAGCAGCTAACACTGTGCTTAAAAACTAGTAAATATTTAGCAAAATGTCCTTAAATGAAATATTTCATCAATTATTCAAATAGGAATCATTGGGGAGTGAACAAAGCATTGAAGCAGAAAGATGGAATCGAAGAATACTTCAGATGTTAAATAGATTACGGGTAAGATAGTAGGGTTTGCCAACCCTCTATTTATATTTAAAAATAAAAAAAATTTGACTTCAATCTTCTAGGTATTAATAAGAATAAAACTCTTTTCATTGAGGCCAAAATCATAAGCAAATTTCAAGCACTATATGCAGGGCTGAATGTGGGAGTTTGGTTTTGGTGCCCGGATGTTCTAATCAACTTCTTGCCCATACTTCTTGCCCATTTTGTGTTTAGCAGGCTATCAACTAATTCTTAATATGGAACTAAGTGTATGGAGGTTTCAGAGTGAAACTCAGATAATTTAAAATTTTTACTTATATTTTATCAAAATAACACATGTATTTGGTGTTCAGAGTGCTACACAATTAGACTGAAAGGAAACACAGGAATCCTTTGTCCTGCTCCTTATCAGAGTCCTAGTCAACAGAAACAACTGTATTAAGCTATTTCCTTTAGTAGTTATATCTATATTTCTAATTACATGTATTTTACTTTATTGATATTTCAGCTTCAAATTTTATCTTTGTCTTTCAACAGAAAATGAAGTTAACTTAGTTATATCTCTTTCCATCCCCTCAGTATATTTTTAGCACAGGATTTATGTTCTAATTGTGATGTAAGCTTGATTATGACAGAGAGCCAAAAAAAAATCTGTGGCTTAAAAAGATTTCCTCCTTATTTATCTGTTCTCTCTTTCTGGATTGCTTATTGGGCAGATATTGGATCTCCTGAATTACATCTTTAGTTTTAAAAACATCTTTTGTCCCTTACATTAATTTCCTTTATTTTTCTACTCTGTAGAAAATTTCTTCAACTTTATTTTGCATCCTTACTGCATTTTTATTTCTGCCTTCACCTTTTTGTTTTCCAGTAGTTTTTTTCTCAGTTATTATTCTTTGGTTTTGTAGCATCTGAATTTTTAAATTTATTTTTAACAATTTTATTGAGGCATGATTGATATATAATAAACTGCACCTATTTAAAGTATAGAGTTAGGTAGGTTTTGACACATGTCTATACTGTGAAACCATATGCACAATCAAGATAGTGAACATGTCTACAATCCCTAAAAGTTCCTTTGTGCCTCTTGATAATCCCTAGTTCCGTCCCTCCCAGGAGGTCCCCCTTCTCCATCCCCAAGCAACCACTGATCTTCTTTCTCTTGATATCATCCTAATGACTTTTTATGGAATAGTGTCTTCTATTAACTTTCAGAGGTTATGGTTTTCTTCTGCTCCCTGCATTGTCTCTGCTTAGTGATTCTCTTGAAAGCTTTCTTTTCTTTTCTTTTTTTTTTTTTTTTCATGTTAGATACTTTACTCAGATGTTTACTGTGAGTCAGACACCAAAAAGCTGATCAGAAGCATGAACGAGGCTTATAGACTTGGGTCTTTATAGTAAGATATTTGGGTAGTGTTAACCCACCTGTCCCTCCACCACATCCTGCCCCCCATACAGTTATCGTTTGTCTAGAGGACTTTTTCCCCTCTCAGAATGGCCAGTTATCCTAGCTTACTCTTCATTTTTGTTGCTAGGAAATAATGTAGTTCAGGAACCAAAAAAGGGTCAAGGAAAGACTTTTTCTTATTGAGTAGAGATTTAATTACCCAGGTTGTGTTATGACACAAATCCCAGTACCTGGTGTCCCAATCTCCAGAAAGGCAACTTTCTGCCCCCTGCGCAGGTATAAGAGGAGTGCTTTTCTGGTTTTGAAAGGCGGTGAAGCAGACCTGAGGGGTTCATTGCTCCCAAGTAGACTTTCAAGGAATTCTCATTTTCAATTTCTCATGTCCAGCTTATCGCATTCTGTCCCCTTTACCTCCTGAGCTTTTCCAAGGTTCTGTAGCACAAATTGGCTTGCTTCTCACTGGCTTTCTTGCTGTTGGCTCTGTAGGTTTTGGCCTTCTCTACTCTGCTAAGTCAGTCTTCCACTTTCTTTGCGTTTATCTCTTTCCCTTGTTGGCTTTTATTCCTGTACCTTCACTTTCAAGGGGTTTCTGGAAGAAACAGAATGAGCACATCTGTTCAGTCTTGTATATTTGTCTCCTCTGGGAATTTTTCTAAAGGATTCTTAAACTTTAAAAAGTTCTCCCAGGGGGGAGGGAAAAAAGCCACCCAATCAGGATCTCTTCTCAAGAGAGGGAATAAAGGGAGGCTTGGCATGCCATCCCTGGAAGTTTGCTGACTCTGGCCCACTCTTTTGGTTGAGATAAAAGATGATAAAGTGTTTAACTTGTTCATTTCTTGAGTCCTCTGGACTAGTAAGAAACTTGCGTGTGGTATTTCTAAAAATTCTATGCAGCTATCCAAGGGGCATAGTGCTCAAAGGGACAATGGCCAGGATTTCAACTACTTCTTGAAAAAAACCTCCATTCTAGGTATCTGAGTCAGAGTCTCAGTCTTTATAGAGGAAATTATCATCCTTCATAATTTAATACTTTATAGTACCTCTGTTTTTCCTAGTAGATTTACAAGTACCGTATGATATATTCAACCAACATCTTTTTAGTTTGTGCATAGAAACTGGGAGATGTTTATACAATGATCTTCCCTGCCATTGAGATCCACAAATACACTTTCACATTTATCACTAGAGTCATTTATACTACTGTTAAGGAAAAGACACCTGAAACGCTGGTAATTTTTCATTGTATTTGAAGCCTCCAAAGAATCCCATGGATATTTTTTCTCCCCACCAGTCTAAACAACTTGTACTTCCCAGAGGAGCCATTTATGTTAACATTGATTTTTAAAAAGACAATATTTTTATAACACATTAGAAATTTATATAACACCTCAGAGTTCCTTTGCATGCATTTCCTCAATGAACCAAGCTCGTGCTCAGTGAACCACAATGTTTTTTTTAAGTTTGCTTAACAAGCCATTTACATTTCTCCTTTTAAGGATTTCATAGTTACTTATCAAATTTACTGATATTTTGTTGTTCATTATGCACCCATGGCCTGTTCTATTTTTTAATGATCTCGTTTCCTTTCCTTTCCTCTTTTCCAATTATTTCCCCAGGAATCTAACAGGATGGGAATGCAGTACTTTAGTCTGATGAAGTTCTGCAGACACAGTGACCGAAAACAAGCAGCTGCCAAATTTTATAGTTTTCTTGTCCTAAAAAAACAGCGGGTGATTGAGCTGAACCAGAGTGTTCCCTATGCAGATATTATAGCTACAGTGGGACCAATGTTTTATGATCTTTGAAAGAAATCTGGAACATGTAGATTTATGTCATCAGTGAAAGTTCTGCGTAGATCGGTTAATCTACTAAAGAAGCTGGAGGCAACTGAATGTTTGACCCATTTCATAGCTAGGTTGATTTTATTTCTCCTTTGTAAATTCAGAAAAATCATAGCCAGAATAGGAAACCTGTATGTTCATAGAAGCACCTAATTACAGCTAAGTAATTTTTTTTTCAACTTAGCTGACTTGAGTATATTGCATTTACCATTTCCCTGACTTAAATGTTGCATTTAGAATACATATTTTAAACACTACTTGCCTTCAAGAAACTTGCAAGGATGTTTTTAAAAAGCTGCTTTATATTGGATTGTTTAGTTAAATTTTAGGATTGATTAATAATACTTTCTTGTTTGTTTTCCCACAGACATTAATCTGTTTGATTTTAATGCATATCATCCCTGATTTCACCTAGTGGCATATTTTTAAATTAACATCTTAACTGAAGAACTGAAAAATCCATCTTTGTTCTAAATTACCTGAGTGTCTTTCAGTCTATTTATAGGTCATTTAACTTTTTTATTTCTATTTACTAATTATAACCACCATTGATGTGTCATCAAACTGAAATCTTCTTATGTTAAAAAAAAATTAGTAGATACTTTTCAACATGTCTGCAACTACAATTCAAGTAGAGGACACTAAAATAAATATTCTTTTACTTGGTGTTTACTAACATTTTTGACATTAAAACTATTGTTTTTCTTTTTTCTTAGTTTGGATTAGGAAATATTCATTATTATGCTTTGTCACCTTCATAGTATACTCTAAAATGAAGCCTATGGCACTTTCTATAGATACTGTTTTATCTGAAATTATGCTATAAGCTAAATTCTAAATGGCCTTGAATGTACTAACTATAAGATTGAAATGTCAAAATTGCCTTTTTAAATTACTTTTAAAATTAACATATAGAAAAATTGACTTTTTTCATTTTGATTCACAGCTCTAGGAATTTTAACATAGGTCTAGATTCCTGTAGCCACTGCCACAAACAGGATCCCGACAGTAACAGCACCCTGCGCTTTGTAGTCACATGTTTCCCCCACTCTAACTCTTGGCGACCGCTCTTCTACATGGCTGCACTTTTGTCTTTTTGACAATGTCATACAAGTAGAACCATGCAGTATTTAACCTTTTGAGACTGCTTTCTTTCACTGTTGTAAAGACTTTGAGATTGGTTCAAGTGCTTGCCTGTATCAGGGGTTCCATTCTACTTAGTGTGGAGTAATGTTCTGTTGTCTGGATATACCACAGTTTATTTCTCTCCTGAAGAACATTTAAGTTGTTCTCAGATGTTAGACAATTATAAATAGAACTGCTACATACATTTGTGTACAGTGTGTGATATGGATTTGCATTTTTTAGGGAAAATATATACAAGTGCGATTGCTGGCTCATGTGGTCAATGCATGTTTATAAGAAATTACCAAATTATTTTCTCGAGTGGATGTACCATTTTGCCCTCCACCTAGCAATGTGTGAGAGTTGACTTCTCATTACTCTCTGTTTTGAGATAATTGAAGGTTTACATGCAGTTGTAAAAGATTATACGGAGGGATCCTATATACTTGCCACCCAGTTTCTCCCGATGATAACATCTTGTATAGCGATAGTACAATATCATGGGAAATTGACATCGATAAATATACTCATCTTATTCCTATCTTACCAGTTTTACATGCACTCCTATGCAATTTTTTCACATACATAGTTTCACACGGCAACCACCACAGTCAAGAAACAGAACATTTCCATCACGAGGATTATTTGTGCTTCCCTATTGTAGCCCGGCCGGCTCTCCCACAGCCCTCCTCCCTAGCCCCTGACAGCCACTAATCCGTGCTTAATGTGTTCTGTTCCCCTCCAACTACTGCTGGAGCCATGCTGCACAAATTTCAATTTGTTGTATTTTTACTTTCATTCAGTTGTAAAATTTTCTAATTTCTCTTGAGACCTGTGGATTATTCAGAAGTATGTTGTTAATTTCCAAAGGACATTTTTCTGTTCTTTCAATGACTCTAATTTATTGTAATCAGAAAACCTATTTTAAGTGATATTTATTTTTTTAAAGTTTGCTTAATGACCTTGTATAGGGTCTGTCTAGGTGGATATTCCCTGGAACTTGAAAAGAATATATTCTCCAGTTGTTAGGTGGAATATTCCATAAATGGCTATTGCTTGATCAATAAAATCTTTTAAATTTTCCTACATCGAGAATGTCTTTATTTTACCTTCATTCCTGAAGGATAGATTATTTTGTTAATTGACTGCTCTTTTCTTTCAGCAATTTGAAAATTTTGTTTCACTTTGTTTTCTGCCCTCCATGATTTCTGATGAGAAATTTATAGTTATTCCCATCATTCCTGTATAATTAATGCATTATTTTCTGATTGCTTTCAAGATTTTGCTTTGTTTTCAGTAGTAATTGAGTATTACTATCTTTCTGTTATTATCATTATTATTATTTGGTTTTCTTCTTTAGAGCTCACCAGAAAGCTGGAGCCTAGAGCTTTACTGCTCTATTCTGCTGCCTGCTTCCTACAACCATACCTGTATCCAGAGACAAGTGGTGGGAGGACAGAAAGAGACAAGAAATAGCAGGGACTCACCCTTTCTCAGGACCATAGCTATGCTATTGGAGAAGTTTCTCCTCCCTCAGAGTTCTAGGCACCTGTGGATCCCTGCTGTCACAGCCACCACTGCAGGAGTGACTGGAAGCTAGATCATGAGACAATGGAGAAAAGATTTTAAAACAAAAAGAAACATATTTCCTCCCCCCACACCCCCTTTACAACCTGATCATTAAATGCCTCCTTTCCTGATCTCTAAGTCAAATCAAGGGAGGTTCTTGAGATCTTTCCCTATGTGATATCCAGTTCCAGATTTTGGGCAGCCTTGAGGTCAGGCGAGAGGATGCCAGAGGAAACAAAAATTGTAGACTCACCGCTAGTTCAGTGGTATGTCAGATATTGGCCTTCCCTAACTTGCCTGCTAGTATTTTATTTTCAGAGTGCTTAAGGAGCTGCTACATGTGTTTTGTCTAGGTTTTATTGCATTCAGTGAGAGGAATTACCCAGAATTGGAACCAAAATTGATTCTGAAACTGAATCACTTTTAAGTATTTCCCCACTAGTACAAAACAAAATTAATTTCTTTAAAATAATTTGTTTTATGCTTTAAAATCCTCATTTATTGCAATTTACAGAATAAGTAAACACTGACTCTTAATCATATGCTTTATGATACTCAGGACAGGATTCTTTACTAGCAAATGCCATTCCAGATGGGAGTAATGTGACTCTTGCTTTCGGAGAAGTTCCTTGTGGAGGTTTCTGGGAAATGTAGTCTTCTGAGTACCTAGCACAAAAACCTGGCGGGTAGACAAAAAACATCTTTCTTAAATGAAAATCTCAGAATTTATCTCTTGATAAAAGTAATTACTAATTACATGGCTTTCTTTAGTTTTGTTTTAAATATAAAGAAGTCACTTATAATTTAGGTGGGTCTTAGGGCAGAAAAACATTTCTTTCAATTAACTTTGCTAGTATAGCATTAGTGGTTTTTAGATAGCAGACCTTATCTCACATGATTTTTACAACTATAATTTCTATTCCTGCTGTATAATTTCTATACAACTGCTGCCATGTTTTCCACCAAGCATAGCATAATGATGGCCAATGATGACAGAAGAATTCAATCTAATTGAATAGAGAGAAAAATATAAACAAGAAAAATAATATATAGGCATTTATTGCAAGGTTATAGTTATTTTTTTTCCCCTTATTTGGTTCCCCTATATTCCTCCTATAAGTGAAACCATCCAGTATTTTTCTTTTGCCTTCTGGCTTATTTCACTGAGCATAATTCCTTCCAGCTCTATCCATGTTGCTGCGAATGGCATGAGTTTATCTTTTTTGATTGTTGAACAGTATTCCATTGTGTATGTGTACCACATCTTCTTGATCCAGTCATCTATTTTTGGGCATTTGGGTTGTTTCCAGGTTTTACCTATTGTAAATAGTGTTGCAATGAACATAGGGTAGAGGAATTTTTTTTTATTAGATAATAAATTTTATTGTTATATTCCCCATACAATTGCAGCCCCCCCATTCTGACCCCAATCCCTCCCCTCCCGCCCCCGCCCCCCTAAAAGTGTCTCTGGTTCATAGTTTTTTGCTGATTTTGATTTTCACTTTCTTATAGTTATTCATTTTCCTGGTCCCTTATTTAAGTTTTCTAGATTCCTGCTATGAGTGAGACCATCCGGTATTTTTCTTTTTCTTTTTGGCTTATTTCACTGAGCATGATCCCTTCCAGCGCCATCCATGTTGCTGCAAATTGCATGTGTTTATCTTTTTTGAATGCTGAGTAATATTCCATGGTATATACGTACCACATCTTCTTGATCCAGTCATCTATTTTTGGGCATTTGGGTTGTTTCCAAAGCTTAGCTATTGTAAACAGTGCTGCTATAAACATAGGGGTGCAGGTGTTCTTTGGAATTGATGTTTCTGTGTCCTTTGGGAAAATACCTAGGAGTGGAATTGCTGGATCATATGGAAGCTCTATGTTTAGTAGGTCCAGAAATCTCCACACAGCTTTCCACAGTGGTTGGACCAGTTTGCACTCCCACCAACAGTGCAGAAGAGTTCCTTTTTCTCCACACCCTCGCCAACATTTGTTGTTGCTAGTTTTTTTAATATGTGCCATTCTCACTGGTGTAAGATGGTATCTCATGGTAGTTTTGATTTGCATTTCCCTGATTACAAGTGATGTTGAACATTTTTTCATATGCCTGTTGGCCATTTGCATTTCCTCTTCTGAGAAGTTTCTTTTTAGCTCTTCTGCCCATTTTTTGACTGGATTATTTTCTTTGTTGTTGTTGAGTCTCATCAGCTCTTTGCAGATTTTTGTGATCAGTCCTTTATCATTAGTGTTGGGTGCAAAAATGTTCTCCCAGTTGGTGGGGTTTCTCTTTGTTTTTGTTATTGTCTCTTTTGCTGTGCAGAAGCTCTTTAATTTGATGTAGTCCCATCTATTTATCTTCGCCTTCACTATCACTGCTTTGGGTGATGTGTCTGTAAAGATGTCTTTGATGTGCAAATCATGTAGTGTTTCGCCTATATTTCCTTCTATATATTTTATGGTTTCAGGTCTTATGTCTAGTTCTTTAATCCATTTTGAGTTGATTTTTGTGTATGGTGTGAGGTAGTGGTCAAGCTTCATTCTTTTTCATGTAGCGACCCAGTTTTCCCAGCACCATTTATTGAACAAACTTTCTTTGCTCCAATGCATAGTCTTTGCTCCTTTGTCAAAGATTAGTTGACCATAAATCTGTGGGTTTATTTCTGGATTTTCTATTCGATTCCATTGGTCTGTGTGTCTGTTCTTGTTCCAATACCATGCAGTTTTGATGATTATGGCTTTGTAGTAGAGTTTGAAGTCTGGGAGTGTGATGCCTCCATTCCCTTCTTTTTTTTTTCAGGAGAGCTTTGGCTATTCGGGGTTTTTTGTGATTCCATATGAATTTCATCAATAATTGTTCTATTTCTTTGAAGAATGACATTGAAATTTTGATTGGAATAGCATTGAATCTGTATATTGCTTTTGGAAGGATGGCCATTTTAATAATGTTTATTCTTCCAATCCATGAGCAGGGGATGTCTCTCCATTTCTTTGTGTCTTCTATTTCTTTTAACAGTGTTTTATAGTTTTCTTTGTATAGGTCCTTTACCTCTTTTGTTAGATTTATTCCCAAATATTTGATTTTTTTTGTTTCAATAACGAAAGGGATGGTTTTTTTGATTTCTTCTTCTTCAGATTTATTGTTTGTGTATAGGAAGGCTGCTGACTTTTGTGTGTTGATTTTGTATCCTGCCACTTTACTGAACTGATTGATGAGTTGAATTAGCTTTTCTGTGGAGTTTTTGGGGTTCTCTATGTATAATATCATATCGTCTGCAAATAGTGATAGTTTGACTTCTTCTTTTCCTATTTGGATTCCTTGGATGTCTTTCTCTTGTCTTATTGCCCTGGCTAGGACTTCCAGTATTATATTGAAAAGCAATGGTGAGAGTGGACATCCTTGTCTTGTTCCAGATCTTAATGGAATTGCTTTCAGCTTTTCACCATTGAGAATGATACTGGCTGTTGGCTTGTCATAGATGGCCTTTATGATGTTAAGGTATGTTCCTTGTATCCCAAGAATTTCAAGGTCTTTTATCATGAATGGGTGTTGCACTTTGTCGAAAGCTTTCTCAGCATCTATTGATATTATCATATGGTTTTTATATTTCTTTTTGTTGATGTGTTGGATAACGTTGATTGATTTTCGGATGTTAAACCATCCTTGTGTCCCTGGAATGAATCCTACTTGGTCGTGGTGAATTATCTTATGGATACATTGTTGGATTCTGATGGCTAGAATTTTATTGAGGATTTTTGCATCAGTGTTCATTAGGGAGATTGGCCTGTAGTTTTCCTTTTTTGTGTTGTCCTTGTTCAGTTTTGGTATTAGTGTAATGTTGGCTTCATAGAACGTGTTTGGTATTGTCCCTTCCTTCTCAATTTTTTGGAAGAGTTTGTGAAGGATAGGCACTAATTTGTCTCTGAATGTTTGGTAGAATTCATTTGTAAATCCATCAGGTCCTGGGCTTTTGTTTTTGGGGAGGTTTTTGATTACCATTTCAATTTCGCTAATTGTAATTGGTCTGTTTAGGTGCTCTATTTCTTCTTTATCTAGCTTTGGGTGATTGTAGAGTTGTAGGAATTTGTCCATCTCCTCTAGATTGTTAAACTTGTTTCCATATAACTGTTCATAGTAGTTACTGATTATTCTTTTGATTTCTGCTGTGTCCGTTGTGATTTCTCCTCTTTCATTGATGATCCTGTTTATTTGTGCTTTCTCCCTTTTTTCCTTTGTGAGCCTGGCTAGGGGTTTGTCTATTTTATTGATTTTTTCAAAGAACCAGCTCTTGGTTTCATTGATCTTTTGGATTGTTTTTTTAGTTTCAATTTCATTTATTTCTGCTTTGGTTTTTATTATTTCTTTTCTTCTACTGGTTTTGGGGTTTTTTTGTTGTTCTTTTTCTAGATCTTTGAGCTTCGAGATTAGGTTGTTTCTTTGAGTTCTTTCTTGTTTCTTGATGTGAGCTTCTATTGCTATATATTTTCCTCTTATTACTGCTTTTGCTGCATCCCATACATTTAGGATATTGGTGTCCTCCTTGTCGTTCAATTCAAAAAATTTTTTAATTTCTTCTTTGATCTCCTCATTAGTCCAGTGGTCTTCCAGTAGTGTGGTTTTTAATCTCCATGAGGTAGGAAAGTTCCTTGCCTTCTTTTTATGGTTTATTTCTAGTTTGATGCCTTCATGGTCAGAAAAGATGGTTGATATGATTTCAATCTTGGTGTATCTGTTGATGTTTGTCTTGTGCCCCAGTATGTGATCGATCCTGGAGAATGATCCGTGTGCGCTTGAGAAAAATGTGTACTCCGTTTTTTTGGGGTTTAGTGTTCTATAGATGTCTGTTAAGCCCAATTGCTCTAGGTCCTTATTTAGAGCTTTGGTTTCTTTACTTATTTTTTGTCTTGTTGCTCTATCCATTGTTGATAGTGGTGTGTTGAAGTCTCCCACTACGTATGTGTTTTCTCTGATGTCTGTTTTCAGAGAGGACAACAGTTGTCTGATATATTTTGGTGCTCCGTCGTTTGGTGAG